CCCCAAAACCCCAAAACCCCTAGAAGCATTTGAATGAGAATAGATGTAGGATTATTAATAAAGTAAATATATACTTAAATTATAAGGTAATCTTCGATTGTGCATATTAAGTTTGATAGCTTTATTTAATTATATTAAAAGTTCATTTATTATTTACAACTCATAACAATAATGAAGTCCAATAAGCCTTACACATTCACTCCAGCTGATCCTTTTGAGCAGAGAAAAAATTAAGTTATTATGATCCATAAGATTTGTAACATCATCAAATCAGACCGCTCCGATTAATTTACTAACCATTGTAATCATGAGTAATCTCATAGAAATTGATATAGAATATGAAGATCATCTAAGAAGTAAAAATTCCAGGGTTCGCAAGGAAACTTTAAAATCTATAATGCATGATAATTTTGTAAGCCGATTCCTATTTTTATCTTGATCAGAAAATGCTAAAGAGAATAAACAGCTAGAAGCCGACTCTTGATTTCTTAAAGCTAGAAAAGGATCGAAAAGATTAAGAGAGGCTGATCTCAAATATTGCTCAGCATCCGCATATATTTAAGGTGAAGGGTAACGTTCTGTAAAACTCAGTTTCAAAAGTTTACAACCCAGTAAATTATCAATAGGCTTTTCATCTATTAGAGATTCTAAGTGATAAAAGAAGAGACGATAATCAGAGCAAGTTCAGGTCATGGACTGCCTAAGATTCAATCTCAAAAGCAGATCGTTACTTACTCGAAAAATAACTTCCATCACAGGTTACCTCCAATGGATATAACTGATATTAACAGTCACTATAAAAACGACTCTATCACAAGAATTCCTGAATCTGGTGTATTGAATACTATATAACTATCCGGAAAGTCAAACAAAAAGAGTAAGAGCCCTTATCCTCAAATTTCTACTTTATCATTAAAATAAACAAAATATAATATAATTTTTTAGAGAGCTATATCCCCTTGGTATTCAAAGATGATCCAGAACTTTAGTTAGAAAGAAAAGTAATTCATCAGGAAATGTATACTTTAAATAATGGTAAAGACTATGTAATTGAGCTCTCATTTACCCAAAGAAAACTGATAATAATAGCAGCTAGAAAGCGCAAACATTTCAAATTGGAGTTTCCTAAAAAGCAAGGAAAGCGCTTAGTCTATGATGCAGTAAGCTCAGTTCACTAGTTCGCCTCTCTTGTCAGGATATCCAAATCTGAGACTTTATACATTGACGGTTTAAAAGATCTGCTGAATTCTAGTGTGGAGAGAAAAGTGTCGAAAAGATTAATACAATCTGTAATTCCAAGTGATGATGGCAAATCTGACATGTATAATTAAAATTAAAGACCATCTCCCAAGATTATAAGCAGCTTTTAGACTCCAGTCACAAATTTATTCAAGAATGAAAGGATGAGTGTCAAGAGCTTTGGTGATGATTTCTCATAGCAAAATTAAATTATCAACAAATTCGCAGACCAAATGTATGATTCAAACGGCTATACCCAACAAGAAGAAGATGACACATAAGGACGACTCACAATAAGTGAAGATGAAGAAGAACAGGAGTTAGGAAAACCACCCGGACTCTGATCTATTAATCTATTATTTAGCAATTAAAGCATTTAAGCAAGTTTTACATTGACTTGATAACTAGTTTTACTTAGTCTATTGGGGTTTTGGGGTTTTGGGGTTTTGGGGG